TAGATTCCACATATAAATGAGATAATGTAATATTTGCCTTTCTGTGCTTGGCTTATTTTATTTTTTGTGTGCCTGGCTTATTTCACTTAGCATAATATCCTCCAGGAACTGGCTTGATTTGTTAATTTAAAACTATATGAATGCCATTTGAATTTTTCAATTCTTACAATCTTATGGCATAATAAATATAGATAGATATTAACTTATATAAATAAAAAGCTCTTTTGGGGGCCTCAATAATTTTTTAAAATAATTTTTTTATTGTCTGCCAGCGAGATGTTTAAAAATAAAAATAAAAAAATATTTTTTGTCTCAATTTTAGATTTACAGAAAAGATGCAAAGATAGTACAAAGAGTACGTGGATACCCCAGTTTATTTCCCTTAATGTTGCCATCTTACATTGTAATTGTACATTTGTCATTCCTATTACATTATTATTGACTAAATTTCAGACTTTATTAGGATATCTTTGGTTTTTTCACTGTTGTCCTTTTTCTGTTCCAGGATTCAATGCAGGAGACAAATTGCATTTAGTTGTCATTTCATCTTGGTCTCCTGTGGTCTATGAGAGTTTCTTAGTCTTTCTTGATTTTCATGACCTTGTCAATTTTGAGGAGTAACAGTCAGATACTTTGTAGAACATCCTTCAAATTGAGTTTCTTCTAATGTTTTTCTCATGAATATACTGGGTTTATGAGTCTTGGAAAGAATACCACAGAGATAAAGTGCCCTTTCTATCACATTATATCAGGCGGTACATGATATTCACATGACATCATGACTGATGTTAACCTTGTTCAAGGCAGTGTTTGCCAGGTTTCTCCACTATATAGTTACTATTTTCCCCATTCCATACTCTTTTTTGGAAGTGAATTATAATACTATGTCCAGCCTACCTTCAATGAGGAGGCAAGGACTAAGCTCTACCTCCTGGAGGGGAGAATATCTACATCTATTATTGGGAATTCTTCTGTAAGGAAGATTTATTTCTTATTCTATTATTTATTTAATCATTTATTTATATCAGTATGGCCTCATGTGTATTTATTTTATACTTTGGGTTATAATTCAATACTACGTTATTTGTTTTGTTGCTCAAATTGTTCTAGCTTTGGCCATTGGGTGTTTCAGGTTGGCTCAATATTTAACAGTGTAAAGTGGCCCTGACCAAAATGTTTGAGAACAGCTGGTTTAGATTATGATCATAGGATTGAGTAGCTGAGGCAGGGGGGAAGACAATGTTGTTGGAGGAGAGTTCTAGGAATTAAGAATGAGAGTGTAAGAAAAAAATCAAGAATTTAAGTAGGAGTAGTTTGAAAAAGTGAGCCAGGAGCTCAGATAATCTAGAAATGAAGGGATGGAAGTATCTCCTCCTTCCAGAATTAGGATAGGATGGGAGATGGGAGCAAAACAGAGGATGTGCAAAGAGTTTTGAAGATTAGTGTTTGGGAGATGCGTGTAACCTGGGAGTCTGTAGCTTCTTGTGGTGTCTGACATAAACTGGGATGAAGGAAATAATGACTCTAGTCCTGGTGGACCTACAGCAGACTGTGGTGGGGTGACTGAAAGTTTCAGGGTAGGGAGGCATTTCTTAGACTCCCTTTTGAGTTCTTCAGAAGGAGACAAAGAAGTATGGGGAGGGATGGTTTTACTCTGAGCTTGCACACATGCTAAACAAGTGAGCTCAGCTATACAATGAGGGCTCCTGTTTGATCTTTATCAAGTGGAAGGTAAGAGGCCTGGGGCTGACTGGTGTTACCAATGTATAGCATACACACAGAAAAATGTACAAATCATGAGTGTTCAGCCTGGTAATTTTTTACCGAATGTACCCACGTATGTAACCAGACCTAGATCAAGAAGCGGAATATTACCAGAACCCACGAGGTAACCCATAAGGGCAATCATTATCCCAACTTCTAACACAATTACTTTTTCCGTTCTTGAAGTTTGTATAAATATAATTATATAGTAAGCACTCTTTTGTCTGCTTTTACCCAACATTGTGACACTTGATATAGTTTGTTCATTCAAAGTTATATTTTGTTGTATAGAATTCCAGGTGTGGTACATATACCGTAATTTATTCATTCTATTCTTGCTGAACAATTTGGTTTGTTTCTAGTTTTTGGTTATTTAAAAAAACTGCTTCTGTAAACATTCCTGAGCATATCTTTCAGAAAATATATGTCCACTTTTTTTTTTTTTTTTTTTTGAGACAGAGTCTCACTCTGTTGCCCGGGCTAGAGTGAGTGCCGTGGCATCAGCCTAGCTCACAGCAACCTCAAACTCTTGGGCTCAAGCAATCCTTCTGCCTCAGCCTCCCAAGTAGTTGGGACTACAGGCATGCGCCACCATGCCCTGCTAATTTTTTCTATATATTTTTAGTTGTCCGATTAATTTCTTTCTATTTTTAGTAGAGACGGGGTCTTGCTCTTGCTCAGGCTGGTCTCGAACTCCTGAGCTCAAACAATCCACCCACCTTGGCCTCCCAGAGTGCTAGGATTAAAGACGTGAGCCACTGCGCCCGGCCCTGTATGTCCACATTTGTGTTGAGTATGTTTTTATGGGTGAAATTGCTGGATGCATAGAGTATATATGTATTCAAGTTTAGAGGATATTGCCAAAGAGTTTTCCAAGATATTGTACCAATTTGCATTCACACTAGCTGTGTCTGGATATTGATTGTTCTGTTTCTTTTTCAACACCTGGTATGATCTGTCTTTCATTTTAGCCATACTTGAGTGTGTGTGTATGGTGTATTTCATTTCCCTGCTGACTGACTAAGTTGAACACTTTTCATGTGTTAAGTTTTCATTTGGATAAGTGATGGTGTGGTTTTTCCTACAGGTTTGTCTGCCTTTTTATTAATAATTTATAAGAGTTCTTTATATGTTCTGGATATGTGACTTTTGTAATATATATGAATTGCAGATATCTTCTCCCACTCTATGGCTTTGCCTTTTCATTCTCCTAGTGGTATATTTTGGTGAATAGAAGTTCTTATTTTTAATGAAGTCTAGTTTGTCCTTTTTCCCCCTTATGATTTTGTGCTTTTGTGCCTCTTGTTTTAGAAACCTTTGCCTACCCTAGGATTATGAAAGTACTTTCTTATGTTTTCTTCTAAAAGCTTTATGTTTTACTGTTCACAATTAAATCTGTGATCCAGCTGGAACTGTTTTTTGCATGCTCTGTAAGTTAGGGGGTCATGACTCTTTTTTTTTCCTCCCCATGTAGCTATACAGTTGACCTAGCCCTGTTTATTATAAAGACTATCCTTTCTTCACTGAATTGCAGTGTCACTTTTGTCATAAATTAGGTGACCATATATGTGTAGGTCTGTTTCTGGCCACTCTATTCTGTTCCATTGGCTTGTTTTTCTACCCTTATTACGGTACTACACTGGCTTAATCACTATAGTTTTTGGTGAGTTTTATATGAAGCCTTGACTCTGAAAGTCCAAGTCCTCCAGTTCTGTTGTTTTTCAAGATTGCCGTTAACTATTCTTGATCCTTTGCATATTGCTCTTGATTCCTTTTAATATTTTATAAACTAACCTTAATTTTAACAAGATAATTATTTTGAATTTTTGTAAAAATTTACCTCCCCAATTCTATGTAATTTGATGTAGTGTGGTTCTATTCGTGTTAACTTTCTGTCTTAATTTATTAGATAAACAGTGGAATGTATACAAAAGAAAACTTATGTGCATTTATATTTACTTTGTTCCACAAATTTGCATAATAGGATAAAACTAAGTAGATATAGGCAGAAAGAAAATAAGGTAAGAATATAAAATAAAGCAATAAATAAGATTAAGGTAGGCCTGCTTTTTTGTGTACAGAGTTAGGGGAGAAACTTTGGCTCCCAATTTTGTTAGAATCAAAGCAAAGAGAACCAGATATGAAACTCACAGTACTCATAATATAAAAACAATCAAATTACTCTAAAGGAGAGTTTTTCCTGGTTCTGAAAACTGAACATGTGAATTTTCTCCTCTGTTAGCTTTTAAGGGGGATAAATGTAATTCCAAAGCCAGTTTATCTGAACAGATAGTTCTATAAAATCAATAGCATAGTATAAATATGTGGTTTTCTGTGATAGTCTGGTTTGATCTAAGGATAAGATAGGGAATTCTTTTTATTCTAAAAAATAAGATAGTTTCTACTATGTTATTATTCTGATGAAAATTAAGAAGCCTAATACAGGATTTATGCCTGAATTAGGAGGTTAGGAAATTCAGATAGAGCTGAGGTTTTCCCTCAGGAGACAGTTTCTAAACCTAATCCCATATATCTGGATGGGTAAAGAAAAATACATTGTACTTTGACCAAAATTTTGTTTGAGATAAAACTGTTTTGCATTCCCTTTAGCTTTTTTTTTTTTTTCTTATTTATACTTAAGTAAATCCCAATCTTCTAAATAACTGTTGTTGAATTTGGTCATTATCTTGAATATTGTCACTTTTACTCTTTAAAAAATGAATATTAAGCTCTCAAAAAACCAAATGACTTGCCTTGATAGTTACTGTTGTAAAGAACTGAAATATAAGCAAATTAAATTACTTTAATGCTTTTAATAAAGTCAATTTTGGATGCATGTCTTTTTATGTTTTCACAATTTTGAAATATTTTCTGTAATTTTCTTAAGATAAAAGATCTTTTTGAAATTATTGAATCAAGACTAGGGAAAAATATCCAATATGTTTTGCAGCTGGCATTGCTGAAAGCTGAATGAAAATTGTAGAGCCAGTTTCATGTTATGATATTTATACATTTGTCAGAATTCTTGCATCTTAAAGCTTGTTTGTACACATTGGTTTTGAAATGATTGTAGTAATTTGTGTTTGAAACTACTTTAATTTTACAAATAAGAAGTAACTTAACTTTGTATGATTATATCTATCCGTAGTAATCTGACTGTAAAGAAAACGTATTCAAAATTTTAACATTTTTCTATGTTAATTTTCAGGTTGAAGGTTTAGAACAGATGTGGAAAGATGTTCACTTCAGAGAAAGGGGTTGTGGAGGAATGGTTGTCAGAGTTTAAGGTAATATTCACTGTTCTTTCTAAAGAAGTTTTGTTTGGGGATTAAATTCCAGTGACTTTTTAATTTTATATGACTGAAAAGCTAAATATCTGTGGAAGAAGTATGTTCTAACAAATCTGAGTAGGGAGTTATTTACACATAGTAATCTTTTCTGAGAAATTGATTCCTTTTTTTTCCCCCAAGTTGTTCAAAGAGTTTATTCATTTGTTTGTTTATTTATTTTTTCCCTTTCATGGCAACACTACAAAGAATGGTTAAAGTCTCTGAATGTTGATGTCACTCTCCAACAACCATCAATGATTCAGTGTTAAAATGTTTCTTCCAATTTGGGAGGACAATGGAACTGGGCACGATCAACAATGAGGAAAGAGTGGGAAGATATTTGCCCAACTTTATACTAGTGGATCTTTCTCTAGTTGGCTAACCCAGTGGCTATACAAGGAGTGTATAACTTTTGATTAGTTGATGAAGAAAGTTTTCTTGTCTCATGAACTCTTCTCTATGATAGCTAAAATTGTGTTCCTTAAACCAGCTAATTAACTTTTTCTGTCCTATATGACACGTAATTATGTGTGCTTCATGATCATGAACCACAGAGTGAACAGTTTGGGCCACAGCTTCTGCTTTGATTTTGTCCAGCCCAATCAGCCCAAGGCCTTTAGAGACAAAGTTATAGTCTGACAAAGTCAGGCTTATTGGTTTGTTGCAGTGAGGGAGATTGCATAATAGATACTGTGGGGCTATCTCACCAAAGGAAAAGATAAAGTTTTTATAGTGATTTGGAGGAAGGGTAGAGTTTAGGTGAAATTTAAATGAAGCACTGTTTTGATGGGCTCAAAACAAAGCCGGGCTGTGTATAATGGGGTCAGCATCTGATCAGGGCTTCAAAGTGGACCCAGAATCCTGTTTTCTTGGAAACTACAAAGTTAATATGGAAAGTTGTGTTTATAAACCCCTTATCCATAGCTCTGCGCCTGGGTTGGAAATCAAAGATACTTCTCTGTGTCAAAGTGACTTAGATCCATCAGGCAAGAGTGGGATGTTTCATTCTTTCTATGTTCATACAGCAAATTTTTTGATAATCTATGATTTTAGACAAGGCTTCTCAGTGAGTAAGAATACAGTAGCCATTCAAAAAAGGAGGTTGTTACGATACTTTACTGTTGCAATGTGTCTTTGGGAGAAGTAGTATGTCCTGTTAATTTTGCAGCTGGCCTTATCTGTCTGTGTTATCTAATCCTAATGAATGCCTGGGCAGATTTTTACTTTCTCAGCTTTTATAGTCACTAATTGAGCATCCTTTTATGAATTCCTTAAATCATCATGAAGCGATATATAATGTTACAAATGTGCACTGTATGTAGTGCTTTCTACATATTTGATTATGCATGATTATGTTGATTAAATCTTATTTGTACTTTTTTTCTGCTTGTTATCTTTGTGAATAAGCATTCAAGGTGTTTTAAGCTTTATTTTTTCTGCTTCAGAAGTATTTAATATGGTTTGTTATATCATGATTTTTCTTTTGGCATGTTGATGAAAACTATCAAGTTTAACAGTTGAGTACCATTTCTTCTAGGGCCTTCCTGTGGTTTAATGGTGAAGTAAAATTTGCAAAAGCAAATATAGCCAGTTATCCATTCTTTAAGATGGGAGTTGTGGGAAAAGGGCATGTTAAAAGGGTGGGTCATAGAAGAAAGATCAACTACAGGGGTAAATAATTGAAAATCATGACTGATTCCCTTTCCTTTCCATCTGTTGATTTATTCCTTTCCCCTTCTGACTTGGATATGTGGACACCCAAGAAGTGCCAGTAGTGAGGAGTACAGCAGGATTGGCAGTGGTGTGCCCTAGTGTCTGAGGAAGTGAGTGGTTGGGGTGAAGGGTGCCATGTAGAAGAGTCAGCCAGAGTGATAAATTGGTTACACTGAGCAAATAAGTTAGTTGAACAAATAAGTAAATATATTGAAGATAATGGGAGTTAGGTTTCTCTCTGTCTGAAAAAAGGAATCACAATCATGGAATAGAGAAAGGCAAGAAAGAACTCTAAGGTGTTGGACTGAAATCGGAAGAATCAGTATGAATTTGTGGGTTCTAAATATGTATATGGTGTGTGTGTGTGTGTGTGTGTGTGTGTGTGTGTGTGTGTGTGTGTCTGTGCACCCTAGTAGCAATGAGTACATCAACCACCCAGATCTTATTTTCTTCCACTAAAAGAAACCAAGAATATAAATAAATAGAAAGTATTATCTAAGTAATATTTTATCAAGATAACATTATCTGGGTAGCAATATTTTATTAACATTTTTTATAAATTTAATGGGAAACTTTACCATTGAGAGAAGGGAGTGAAATCATGGCCTGCATGGAATAAAAAGTAGTTTAATTTAGTTTTCCCCTACCTGCTCCCAAGTTTAAATTTACCCAATTTTCAATTTGATATATGTTTTAAATTATCTTCAAATCTGTATTATAGCCAATTCAAGGGAGGGTATTTCCTATTCCTTGGTTAATTTGGCAGGCATTCCTGATAAGTACTTTGAGTGTTATTCTGAATTGTGTTAATGTATGTTATATTCAGCTCTGTGTTTAATAAAGAGAAGAGAGTTATCAGGCAAAATCAGCAGTATACCAGAGGTAATAGAAAATAGAAAAATGCTTAGGGATGAATCTGCCAAGTACTTTTGAAATTAGAATAACTTGTCTTTTGAAATGATTTGTGATATTAAATTACATATTTTTGTTAAAATATTTAAGAAATGAAGTTTTGGGGCATATACATATTTTTAGAAAAGCTTCTGCTTGGTTGTTTAATTTACTAACCATGGTGCTAATAAGGCCAAGGCCATCATGATTGATTAAGTGGGCTGAGAGTCAGAAACCCTTGGATCTGATTCTAATTCTCCCATTAGGTGGTTTTATCATGTTGGACAAACCACATAACCTCTCCAAGTCTCAGTATCTTCATCAGAAAAATTAAAGAAGTGTAGGTACTTTAGCTCTATACTCTTCCATGGTCACAGTCTATATTCCTAATCTTATAACCTCACTCAGTAGTCTCACAAAGGCATACAGACAACACAATTTGCTTTGGTAAATCTTTTATTTTAAATTTTTAAAATTAAAAAAAATTTTGCCTTTGGTGAAAACATTCAGTGTCTGCTCTAGCTAGGGACTCTCATTAATATTTTCTTTATATATGGATCGTGATTAGACTTAGGATTTCATTATTTTAAGATTTCACAAATACTTCAAGCTCTATCTTTTCAGATTTATTTATAAAATATTATCTTTCAGACTATATTATATTTTTCTTAATGCTGAATGTAGATTTATCTAGCAGATTTCCAGACTCCTAATGTTTTCGATTTTCTGATGGTCACTGAATCTTAATATGTGACTCAAAATCAAATCTTATGTGTGATGTTGTAGAGCAGGGTTGTTTTATATATTGGTTCGTCATCCATCTGTCCATCTTTATTAATTCTCTTCTACCCAACCCATATCACCTCCTTACATTTTTAAAAAGCCATCTGCCAAATGATACTTTAGTATGAAGCATCTGTCTTCTTCAAATTTTGCCAAAAATAATTTCCCAACATAATTTTCCACTATTATTTTTCATCTCCAGTTTTGTCTTCTGAATCGTGAGAAAGCTTAGCTGGTATTTAAGAAGGCCAGTACCTTTGAACTAGTACAGTACAAGAAAATTTAACTGTTTGCTGGAACAGTATTTAAATTCATTTGGCCCTTTTAGATCTTAACTTGTTTTCGAAGCACCATTCATACACAGCAGTTACATTTTTTCCCTCTCTACAGACAAAAGTAACTTTTCCCATATTCATAAAATGAAATAACTACAGAATTGTGAATAAAATGTGAAAATTACTGCACTAATGTTTATAATACCCTTCCTCTCATTTAGCAGTAGTAGCCTAGGTCCAGAGTATTTTCTAGAGCTCGTCTTTTCAGAAAAGATCTGTCCTTTTACCTTTGGCTGTTTCACGGAAAATATTTTACCCCATGAGGATCAGTCGATATATACAAGCTGAAAATTGTAACTCATGTTTTTAATGACTGTTCCAGTTTTAGCCTAGATGGTATATATAATGCTATAGTAATTTCTCTATTCATTGATAATTTTTTAAAGATATATTTCAATTTACTTAAATTTTATAGTTAGACATATATATTATACATATATACAGTTACATATATATTAGATATATAAAAATGTGTTTTATATATAAAACATATCTTATATATAATTTAGGTTTATTTATATTTAGGGGATTAGAAATCTGCTGTTTATTTGACTATTATTTCCTTTTATATAAATTCCCCTAGTATTAGGTTACTCTTGATCAAATGACGGAAATGAAATGTTGCCTGGAGATCTTTTGTTACATGCTTTTTTAAATATCGAAGAATACCCTAAACTCTTCTTTATATAAGCAGTTGCAGTGAAACTATTTTTTGCTCTGGAGAATGGTAAAAGGTTCAGATAGTTCACATTTACTTACCATTCTGGTAAACAAAGCTCTATTTTTAACTAAAAAAGGAATCTATTTCCTTATGTATTCTAAGGTGAAATATAACCTACTTTTAAAGAATCAATTGAAGTGTAAATAGTGGCAATTTTCATTTTTTATATTGTTCATCTATAATAAGTTCCCTCAGCGAAAGTTTGACTATAAGGCCTTGTGATGAGTGCTGTGGATGGAGCGATGATAAGACAGTTCTTGCCCTAAAGTAAAAATGAATCAAATATTCTTATTATAAAAATGCCTGCTGTTTAACTTTCTATGCCAATTTATACACACATTACACCCATATACACTAACCACAACCCATAGTAAATCTTGAAATACTACGAAATGGGACATGTAGGAAATAGTGTTTATCTTGGAATGACCTAGGAATATCTTGAGATAGGGTATGTACTGCAGGATTAGCATTGATTGATTGAGTGATTGAAGGAAGTAGTGTGGGTGGGAAAGAATAATGATTCGGAAGACAAATATTTTAAGGAAAGGGGGTATGCTCCAGAAGGATAGGTTTTTATCATTTGTTATGATGAAATATTTTTTTTTTTTAATTTTTATATTTTCCTATACTTTCTTACCCAAAACCATCTGACTTACTACGGGAGTTTTATCTGTTCCCATTCCTTTCCTGTCATAGTGTTCTTTCTGAATGGGTAGTGCTGGCAAGCTGTGATTAGTTGTCCATATTTTAAAAGGCATTAGGAAAACTAGTTTGTTGATAATGTGGATATCTTTTTCTCTTGTTCCAAAAAGTCTAAATACACCACTGACCAACCCCCCCACCGGCCCCGCCCCACCACATTGGTAAAGTAGAGCAGCCTTACCAAGCTTAACAGTCATAATGTGTAACTCAGGAGTTATTTTGATCAGATGATCTCCTGTGGCTTTTAGATTTGAAACATTATCTGATCCTTATATAACGTATTTATTAAGAAGCAAGGTCAATACAACTAATGAGATTTGTAATTTATATAATGCTACAAAAAAACCTCTAACTTTACACATGGTTTGTATTCTCTTCTCATTTTTAATCCCTAATTGTGGGCCGGGTGCAGTGGCTCACGCCTGTAATCCTAGCACTCTGGGAGGCCGAGGCAGGTGCATGGTTTGGGCTCAGGAGTTCAAGGCCAGCCTGAGGAATGGGAAAAGATAAAACTCCAGTAGTAAGTCAGATGGTTTTGGGTAAAACAGTTATAGGGAAATATAAAAATTAAAAAAAAACAAACACTTCATCATAACAAATGATAAAAACCTATCCTTCTGGAGCATACCCCCTTTTCTTAAAATATTTGTCTCCCGAATCATTATTCTTTCTCAACCACACTACTTCCTTCAATCACTCAATCAATCAATGCTAATCCTACAGTACATACCGTGTCTCAAGATATTCCTAGGTCATTTCAAGAACAAGACCCCATCTCTACTAAAAATAGGAAGAAATTAATCGGACAACTAAAAATATATAGAAAAAATTAGCGGGGCATGGTGGCGTATGCCTGTAGTCCCAGCTACTCAGGAGGCTGAGGCAGAAGGATCGCTTGAGCCCGGGAGTTTGAGGTTGCTGTGAGCTAGGCTGATGCCACAGCACTCTGGCCTGGGCAACAGAGTGAGACTCTTGTCTCAAAAAAAAAAAAAAAATCCCTAACTGTGATCAAGGATGATCATAAATAAACATTTATTTATGTCCCTGTTGGTGATAATAAGATAATATATATCTTTTATTTTGAACTTTTTTGTGAATTACATAACATAATTCATTATTTTAAGGTAAAAATACAGTGGTTTTTGGTATATTCACAATGTTGTATAAACACCTGCATCTAATTTCAGGGTATTACCGTCACCCCTCTTCCCCCTGCAGTCTTGGCAACAACTGATTTGCTGTCTGCCTGTATGAATTTGCCCATTCTGGACATTTCGTAAAAATAAAATGTATTTTTTTAAATCTATTTAGACACTACCAGAAACATCTTTACGAAATTATGCCACAAATTTGAAAGACAAGAGTTCTTTAGTATCATCTCTTTATAAAGTTATCCAGGAGCCACAAAGTGAGGTAAGTAGCCTTATGGTTTATTGGCTAGTAGTATTCAGTTGATTAATTTTTTAATTTTTTTTTAATGAAATATAACATATATAAAAGGGCAGGAAATGTATATGTTTAAAGAACAATAATGAACACCAGAGTACTGTTCCTCAATCATTACCCAATTAATACCATATTGCAAAAACCATCTTTCTGAATATTCTCTCTCTCTCTTTTCTCCCTCTCTTTCTCACTGGAGGTAGCTTTGAAAAGTCTGGGTCACTACATTCTTTTTATTCATTCAGCAACTATTAGCATGCCCATTATGAGCCATCTGCCATGCTAGGCAATAGAGAATCAAGTTGAGTAACATAAGGTCTTTATCCCAAAGAGGAAAGGGGGAGAAAATAAGTAAACACATTGTTTCAAGGCAATGCTTAACTCAGTCTGTGGATAAGCACAAGTTTTCCAGGTGGTAAGGTAAAAAAGAACATTCCATGTGGTGGGGATAGTATATGGAGGCCTAAGAAAGTGCAAGGTATTTCAAGAATGTCAAACAGTTTGGTCTGGCTGGTGCTTTTTCCAGTTCTTCCTCTTGTCTCCCTGCCCTCTTTTTCTTTTTTCAGATAGCCAATTTAGTTTGAAGGTGATAAAATAATCTATACTCCAAATTTTGGTGCTTGTAATTCTCATTATTCATAGTAGAAAGAGAAAAGGATTGGAAATAGTGTGGAACAAAAAGGCATGACATTTGGAAAAAGGCAAATAGGCTGATACAGTGGTTAACAAGAGAGGATAAGGCTGTGGTACGAACTGAAGGTGGAAATGTAGGTTTAGGACATAACCCTGGTTGGCCTCAGCTTCCATCTTAAGCAGTTTTGGCTCTTTTTGCACTGAAGGGATGACTTGTCATTATTGTTTTAGGAAGGTGGCTATGTGGAGGATAGATTGGGGGATGGAAAAATTGAAAGCAAGACTGGGAGGCTGTGTATGACAATAGCGTGGGAGGGAGCTGTTGAGAACCTGAACTTGGGCAGTGTCCGGGGAATGGAAAGAGGTGAGGAAAGGGATCTGAGGTATGTACTAATAATTCCTTTTGTACCTGAGTTTGGTGAATAGTGTGATAGGCTCAAACACCACATTCAGTGGTAAAATAACATACCCTGGAGTCCAGTCCTATACGCATCTATGTACCTTTGGGATGAAACTGCCAAAATGAGGGAGGTTTCTTTTGTTATTTGAGTAGTTTAACCTCTTTTGGAGGGAGTGTGGAATAACCCAGCTTCCACTGATTATACTATAAAGTGCATCGTGAGTTTTAGGTGCTGAAGGGATGAGGGATTATATTGACAAGCCAAAAATCTTTAACTGGAATAACTGAATTGAACAATCATATTTGACTATCTCTTACTCATCCCCAAAGCTTCTTAATTTGTGAAGAATGTATAGGTAGGCTGTTTTCTTGAAGCATTTTGATGTTTAAGGAAATTGGGTAGAAGCTGTTTTAAGGTTTTCCATGTTTGGTTTAGAATTATTTCCCCAAATAGGGTAAGCATAGGTATGTGCTTTATTTTTTTTAACAAGTTTTTTAAAAAAAATCTTACTTATCATTAACTGTTTGTGATTTTGAAAGGCTTGAAAATTATTCCTCTGATGAAGCATGTTTTAGCCAGGCTACTTTGGCAACAGTTTGTAGGATAAATTTGTAATTGGCTAGCTTAGTTTATAGCATCCCTTTTATTTAGATAATTCTAATGAATACAGCTTTAATGGTTCAGAACAGTATTTCTCAAATTATTTTTGAAGAAGGAACAGTTTTTTTTAAAAACAATTCTAATCTGTCACAGACCAATATGTGTATATAATGTGCACAACTAACATGCAACTTGTATCACACAAATTTGATAATCCCTAACTGATCTATAAGTCTGTTGATCAATAAGTCTGTTCAGTGAGTCTGCTTATTAACTACTTGAATGTTGCAGCAGTATCAAGTTGTTATAAAAGCTTCTAAATGGCCAAGTACAGTGGCTCATGCCTATAATCCCAGCACTTTGGGAGACCGAGTCATGAGGTTTGCTTGAGGCCAGGAGTTCACGACCAGCCTGGGCAACACAGCGAGATCCTGTCTCTAAAAAAAACACACAAAAAAATTAAAAATTAGCTGGGCATGTTGGCACACATCTGTAGCTCTAGCAATTTTGGAGGCTGAGGTAGAAGGATTGCTTAAGCCCAGCAGTTTGAGGTTTCATTGAGCTGTAATCATGCCACGGCATTCCAACTTCGGTGACAGAATAAGACACTGTCTCAAAAAAAAGAAAAAAAAAGTTTCTAAATGCTTCCTTTCAATTTCTGTATTTACATTGTTGGGGACTGGTAACAGTTTGTGGATAGTTTTCAGTCCATGTACCACACTTTCAGAAGCACTGGTTTAGGAAGTCTTGCATGTCAGTTTGTTTTATGGTTTTCTTTTGAGTTGTGTGGTGAAAATAGTGTATATTCTATATTCTTTTTTTTTTTTTTTCGAGACAGGATCTCTGTTGCTGAGGCTGCAATGAGTGGCACAATCATAGCTCACTACAACCTCAAAGTCTGGGTAGCTAGGACTACAGGTACATGCCACCACGCCCAGCTAATTTTTATTTTTTGTAGAGAAGGGATCTTGCTGTGTTACCCAGGCTGGTCTCAAACTCTTGGCGTCAAGTGATCCTCTCACCTTGGCCTCCCAAAGTGTTGAGATTACAGGTGTGAGCCACCATGTTCTGTATTCTGTATTCTTAAATGATAACTCACTCTTTCAAATACATTTGGAAATGCTTCTAAAATATAACAGTGTAATCTGCTTTAACATCATAACCTCCTTATTGCTGTTTAGAATATTTTGTGTTTTAATTTGGAAATACTTCTGAAGAGTTGATGTCATTATCTTCTGGAATTTTTGAACTTTGGGACATTGTTTCTCATGTTATTTGAAGTTCAGCAAATTTGACATTTGGATTTTACTAATAGTATTTTTTCATTATTCATTTAATAAATATTTATTGAACATATATAATGTTCCAGGAACCACTTAGGAATATAGCAGAGAGCAAAATAGATTAAAGTTTTTATCTTATGGTTTAGGACTTTTATTCTAGTAGATCAAACAGACTTTAAACAAATACCTAAATATATAATATACTATGTCAGTTAGTGATAAAGACATGAGGATAAATAAAGTGAAGTAGGGGAAGTATGTGTTGGGACTGAAGAAGATGATGGTTGAATCAAGATCTGAGTGAATTAGAGAGAGAGAAAAAAAATCAGGGGCAAGAGCTTTGCAGGAGAGGAAACAGGAAGTACAAAGGCCCTAAGATAGGTATGTGAGGTGTGTTCAAGAAACTTATAAAGAAGCAGTTTATATGAGTACAATGCAGTTTGTTTGAATGGTACTTTTAGTTGACTATAACTGTAAGATAGGCATATGAGTAGAGGCAAGCGTTGCTCTAGTCTGTTATGAAATCAGCTGTGTTTTGAAAGAGCCACATAAAATCTTGGGGTTCTAGAAGTAGAGAGTCCAGAGCAAGGAGGGGTCAGATACCAGTGGCTGCTGGTACTGAATAGAAGTGTTCTTCCAACTTTTCTGTATCTTTTTTCCTACCCATGTTCCTCTGTGATTGTTCAATACAAAAAATGTTGCAAGGTTTTCCTTCTAGATTGACCCACACTTGACTCTTTTCCTGCTTAGTCATTAAAGAACATTTTCCCTACTTAGTCATTAAAGAACATTTTTGTGTCAATTCCTATTACCACTAGAAATCTCTCTTGGGATACAGACTTCTTATTTATGAATGGATTGTGGTAAAAATCCATTTGTAACTTAGCTGTTTCAGAACTCAGAATGTATTTTAGACTGGAGAGAAGATAAATGGTGATTAGGTTCTTATTAGACCGATAAAAAGCCCATCATTTAACACATAAAAATATACTTGAGGTACAGTTCTCTCTGAATAGCACTGTAAAACCTGGCCACCATATATGACAATGTTTCTATGTACGTTAAAAAATGCAACCCAGACACTAGGAACACAGTATGTTCTAATGTCCATTGCTTGCTTCAAATATATTCAAGTTAGATATGTCAAACACTGATTTCCCACTTTGTATATAATTTCATTCTTTTCCAGGTATGTTTGTAAAGGAGTCAAAAGACCTGACTCCAGTTCTGACCCCTGTGAGCTGTGTGATTTTGGTCATGGTGGATACCCTCTTGTCTCAATTTCCTTATGTGGAAAGTATGGATAATGATATTCCACCCTACAGTGTTGTGGGAATTGAATGGGTTCGTGCATGTGAAAGTACTTTGCAAGCTGTAAAACACTACACAGATATTGTTGTTTGTCTGTATTTCTTTCAGATGCATAATTTCATCTAATCTTGTTGCAACATGTTTCTACCTCCCCTTTGAATCTGTCTTCATTCAGTTCTGCTTTTATAAGGCAAAAACTCTCTTAATTTTGGATTTTAAACTGCTTATAAAGCCTTTTGAGTATGTTTTGATTAAAATTGATTAGATGTTCATACAAACTGTCTTGAATAAATTTTCAAATAAGGTTTCATAATTTTACAAATATTTGTTAAACTCTATCAATTGATTTAGTCAAAGCTTTCCCAGGGATTTAGAGATGGAGGATGTTATACCACAATATAAGATTATTGATGCTGGTCCATAAAGAAATTTTTAAAAATTCCACCCTGAAAGTTAAACATGCCTGACCAGTCTTTCTTTCTTCCAGCCACCTCTAACCCCTTTCTTCCAAATACCTACCCTAAAAACTTTTCTTGCTGTCTATGAATGGGGTTACACTGCCTCCTGCCTCTGTGGTTTCCTGTTGTCTTTCCATGGCCACAGTGGACACCTGTTGCCCTCTAAAGACTATTTTGACAGTGAAAAAAATATTCCTTGTGGAAGATAAATTGTCAGAAGTTAGATAATTTTTCAATAGGAAAAACTAGTTTGACACAGTCAATGTTTATTGAAGTATAATTTTTGTTATGCCTTTGACTTTATACTCAGTTTATTTTACATGTTTAACTTAATTAAAATCAAAACATCCACTTCAAATTAGTTTTTATTCATTACAATTATTGATGGTAGAAAATCTGTTTAGTAAATTGACTTAAATCTATTGCCTAAGTTAGTGAAGTATACATAGTTCATTGAAAAACAGCCTGATTGTTTCCTTGAAAAGACAATACTTTGTGAATCTCTTGACATATTTGATTATGACCATTGCGTATAGGTAATATTTACCTATGAAAAGATCTTAACTTGCCTTTCTGATTTTTTTAAGTCTGCTATAAAGATATAGTCAGCTATATTAACTGGATAATATTGGGGATGTGGTGGGAGAGGAAAAGTTTATAGGTGACTCCAAATTATGTTTAAAGAAAATTACAGCAATGTTTAGATTATGCAGGGGCAATTAACCAATTAACCATGATTACAATAGAGATATAGATCTAGAGGCTCTGTAATTATTCAGCAACGCTACACACCAATCCTTGCTGTCAGATGCTGCCTAATTCTAAGCTCAGAAGGGAAATATTATATATAACGGTAACTACCCAGGATTCCCATTTCAGTTTCTTCAACCTTGTAGCTAATCATTTATATATTGGCATGTGCTTTCCCACGAAGAAGGCATATTAAAGATGAAACTTCCTACAACTTAGCTATTTTGAGAAGTTAAACAGACATGGTTTTTACCGATCTGGGAAAACCTTTTATATTTCATGTAATAGTGTCATTCAAGTACAGTCCAGTTCTTGAATTAACATTTTGTGTTTCTTCCAGTTGCTAGAACCTGTCTGTCACCAGCTCTTTGAGTTCTATCGTAGTGGAGAGGAACAGTTGCTTCGATTTACACTGCAGTTTCTCCCAGAACTGATTTGGTGCTACCTTGCAGTCTCAGCCAGCAGAAATGTGCATCGCAGTGGATGCATTGAAGCTCTTCTTCTAGGGATTTACAACTTGGTTCGTATATAATGCAGTTAGCAAAATGTTTTTTGGCAAAATCAAACATATAAACTTTGTAACTGCTTTTCATTTTAGTAAAACTAATATTTATGTTTCATACATCAAATAACTCATAGCTCATTCTCCCAAATATAACTTTATAGGAGTTGGGTGATATGCAGGCATACATGTAATTATTTAAATATACCTTCATAAATTGATTGAAAGCCGAAAATCAGACCATTTCTTTTATAGAAGTGTCTGAAAATATCAGTGTTGCATTTTAAATTTTTTAAACTTAAAGTCCATTGTCTATAAAGTATCTGTTTCTGACCTTTACAAAAACTTTAGGAGGAAAGATCTACTCTAATATTCACCATTCATACTTCCATAAAATCTGGACTATATCTAGAGTTTACACTATTGATTGAACATATAGTTTGCATTACTAATAGAGTTTGTGTATTAATTAGACACTTATGGTTTGTACTTTTTAAAACGGAAAAGAAATATGTCATTTTCTTGACATAGTATTTATTTCATATTTAAATCATTAATTGATTTAGAAAATGTAATATGTTATGTGAGGAAGTTCAATGATTATTAAGACACTGTATCTGTATCTTAGTCATTCTGAAAACTATATTACTTGTGTTTTAAAAGTGGAAGGATATATGTTTCAACTATTGGTGTTTATGAATAATTGATAATGGATTATTATGATTTAAGATTGACTCTAAAATTTCTTTCTACTTAGGTTTTTTTTTCTTTTTTTGAAACAGAGTGTCACTCTTTTGCCCGGGCTAGAGTGCCGTGGCATCAGCCTAGCTCACAGCAACCTCAAACTCCTGGGCTCAAGCAATCCTACTCCCTCAGCCTCCC